GAAGTTCCTATAGAATTCAGTCTCTGTAGATTTCTATAATATTATTATATGGATAATATACAATTGGATTCACAAAGACTGGCGGAAACTTAATAATTCAAGTCCTAACCAAGGACCTAATTAAGGTAGCATCTGAGGATACAGACAGTTCCAAGCAGGATATTTTTTTTTGTAAAATTCGGGTGTTCCGGTCTGATAAATTCAAAATTTCCAAATATCGAGGGAGTTCTTTAAGTATTGCTCTAAGGGCTCCAATCATGATTGGTATAACAGCAGATTTCTTTTTCCATAAGAGTTCAATTTTGATCTGCAAGTCCCAATATTTTGTAATTTTTTCCGATTGCTTTTCCTCAATCCTAACATCACCCGGTATAGCAACATCAATAACAATAGCAATAACAATCAATAACAACATTGTTGTTGTTGGTTGCACAGTCAGCCAGATGTTTACACTAGATCTGGCATTTTTATCCACCTATTGAATCCTTCCCAAGGACCTGGGATAGGCAGATGTTGTTTGATGGTGTTAAAGGTATTGTCGCAGGATGTAAACTATTCCAAGTAAAGCTGCCTTTTGCAATTGACTAATGGTGGTTTTGTCAATGCCGAGGGCCTTCAAGTGGTAATCTTAATGTTTTGGGATTGCACCTAAGGTGCCTATTATTATTGGTACTATTATTATTATTATTATTTGGGTAATCTACAATTAGATTCACAAAGACTGGTGAAAATTTAATAATTCAAGTCCAAACCAAGGTCCTAAGAGTTATTAAGGTAGCGTCTGGGGATATTATTACTATTACTATATAGCATTTATCCCACTGGATTTATCAAGAGCATTTGTAAATGACTGCTGATAGTCCCTGTGGGCTAGTAGTCATGACAATTATATATTAATTCTAAGATGCGAGGCAAAATGCCACTGAACTGAAGTTATGGGGAACACCAGAGGAGATATCTGTTTCAGCTTTTTGCTTGTGGACTTCCCAGAGAGATCAGTTTGATCCTTGTGAGAAGCAGGATGCTGGACAGATCTTCAGTGTAACCCAGAAGAGTTCCACTTAGAGAGTGCAACTATTTGGGAATGAGAACAACACCTACGTATTCCATTCTTCCCTCAGACCACTGAGCCCTAAACCGGTGGTCTTCAAATCTGATGGAATAGAATTCCCAGTCACTTTCCTACTTTAGGTTATTGAAATAGTGGCTTTGCCCAGATGATCTTTTAAAAGACTTTTCCAACAGGATGATTCTGTTATTTGATCAAGGAATAGGTTACAGTACGAGTAAAAGAAAGCTGGTGTAACCAGCTGGACAGGTCTATCCTGGTCAATCTATTGTTAAGCAAAAAGCGGAATGAGGCTCTTCACTGCACCTTCCCCTAAGGTATGTGTTGATTCAGCCCATGATAAAGTACGAGATTTCTGAGGAAATGTAGTTCAGGTCAAATTGAGAATAAGATCATGCCGAAGTCAGGGAACCAGATGGAACTTAAGAAGCCTTCATGGGCTACAAGAATAGCCCATCCCTGTCCAAAAATGGACAAAAATGAATTGGTGATTTCTGAGTTTGCTGCTTAAAAAGGGTTGAATATGGGAAGAAGGGAACTATATAATGTAATGTTAAAGGGGGAGAAATGGTAAAAATGTGTAACTGCTGCAAAGAAGATTGGAAGCTGCTTCCTTAACTTTCTTTATCTTTTTCTTTACCTGTATTGTTTCTAGCACTTTCTTTTTTTCTCTTGTTCTACTTTCTTTTTATATATTTTTGTCATTTATCTTTTAATTATGTAAAATCTTTCAATAAAAATTATACCAAAAGAAGAAAGAAGACGAAAGAAAGAAAGAAAGAAAGAAAGAAAGAAAGAAAGAAAGAAAGAAAGAGAGAGAGAGAGAGAGAGAGAGAAGGAAAGAAAAGAGTCTATCCCACCCCAGTTAGAAAATAAAGGGGAAACATATCTGTTAGAAGGATTAAAACTGCAAACATCTGCCTATGTGTATTCTGTACACATGTTTAAATAAAGCATATATTGCAAATATGCCATAAGCCTCCAGGAGCCTCCTTAAGAAACACCCCAAATAGGACTCCAAAGGTTTGTGCAGAAGCTTCTTCATGTGTGCTTCTAGCCAGCAGTAAAAATGAAGCTTATACACACAAGACAGCCCTTGAAGCAGGCCTTTTGATGGTAATCCATAGTTGTCATGACATCCATCTGGCCCTTTCATTGCTGTGATCCTGGGAAACCATTTATGCTGAGTTTCTTAATGAACAGTCCTTCACTGTTTCATATTACTATTGATTTAAAAGCATTGTGCTCTTTGAATGCCCTGTGTGTGCAGGGCTTGTCCCCTGGGAGTGAAGGGGGGTGGGGGGTGACTTGACAACAGGCCTTCTTAGTGGCTGTCCCCAACTTTTGGAACATCAGGTCTCCTGAGGAAAAGTATACCCCCAGCCTCTTGGCCTTCAAGAGGGCCTTGGGAATTTTTCGTTTTACACTGTAGACTGTCTGCTGCTAGAGCTGCCTTAGTTAAATTAGAATTCAGTGTTTCTCAACCTTGACAACTTCAAGCTGTGTGGACTTCAATTCCCAGAATTCCCCAGCCAGCATGCTGGCTAGGGAATTCTGGGAGTTGAAG